AGGGGCATGGGGCCCGGGGGGTGGGGGGAGGTCTTTCAGGAACCAGGCCCAACAGACCTTTCTTTAGCCTCCCCTGGGCCCTTCAAGAGGGAATGGGAGCCAGCTTTACCTCACCCACTGTGACCCACTGCTTCCCTATCAGCCTAGGACCAGGCTCTTTCAGATTCTAGTATAGCTCTGAGCCCATTCCTTTAAGGCATAGAGAGCCAGAGTCTGGTTTCCAGAGCATCGACTTCCTATTCCTGGATTTGGGGCCTTTCCCTGGTTTTCCTCCTTGGCCCCTGCAGTAGCCCTTGGTGCTGGGACAAGTTACCCGGCCCTCATTGTCATGGGTGTGGCCCACTTGTGGGAGTCAGCTTCCTGTTCACCTCCTGGTGAGGGGCCACCCAGCAGGTCTGGCTTCCCAGAAGTTAACTGATCAACATGCTGTTTATCATGTCTGGGAGGGCAGAAGGGAGCTGGGAGGGGGTGGGGGGGCAGGGGGCAAGAAAAATTGCTACCTGATTTATTGAAGACTTTCTCTTGCCTTATACTTGGAGGTTCTAGGAAACCTCTTGCAGAACTTCACACAGGACTCTTCAAGCCACACCCACCTGAAATCAAACCAAAGGAGTGCTGTGGCTCCCCTTGCCCTGCCACCCCTGACCCTTTAGTCTTTTGTAGATTGCACTAATTTACATCCCAGCGAGAATCAACACTGTATCAGTTCACAGACCTGCTGAGCTGCAGCCACTCTAGGAACTAAAGACTGAATTTCCAGTTCGTTCCTGTTGCCCAGGGGCCCTGTCTTCACCTCATGCTGCTCCCCCAGAGTAAATTAGGAGGCTCAGCTCCTTGTCGTCCTGGCCAGGACTAGGCCCTGGCCCTGGGGCTCTCTGCAAGGGGGCTAGAACAGCCTGGTTCTTTCCTATTTGTACCAAAGAGGAGCATGGTAGGGAGGAGAGGAGCCCCATGTGGCTTGGGCCTGGTGCTGGGAACCTGCTCTTGAGCACTTCCACAGGGCACATACCCTTGGGGAGCAGGAGCCAAGGAGGGTAGCACTGGGTCGTCTTCCCCCAGAGAGGGCCAGACACCCAGCAGGCTAAGCAGATGGCACCGGATGAGGACAGTCAGGCAGGGTCTGCAGAAGAAGGTGGAAGTGAATGCTGAGTACTTCCAGCAAGCCTGTCGCTGTGTTGTCCTTGAGAAAACGGGCCACTCCTACATGGTCATTGGGATGGGGGAGGCCTGGAGGCTTCCGAGGTAAATTTACATGGGAAGCCCAAACCCGAAGAGAAGGGACTCAGGTTCCCTTGTATGGAATAAGCTGTTTGGAGGAAGGCATCAGTCTGGGGCTGGGGGGTGTGCAGTAGGAGAGGTTGGTAGAGTGGCTGTGGGGACTCTGGAGAGCCAGCCGTGGAGCCTGTTCATTCCCAGGGTGCTGGGCCCTTGCTGCCAAGGAGCCTAGCCTCACCCAGCAGGAGAGAGATCAAGGCCCCTCCTCCCAGGGTCTGCTGCCCAGAACTTAAATGCTTTTGAAATCTCTTAGATGTTGAAATATTTTTTCGAACCTGAAAATGCAGCTGGTAGAATTTCAATGGAAGCATAATTCATGTAAAATATATTTTAGTTGATATTTTGTAAAATGCACTTTTTGTGTGTGTCGACCCCGGTTTCTCAGATCTGTATTTCAGTGTTTACAAGGGAGGGAGGACCTTTCCTCACCTCCCTTTTGACAGAGATTAGAAGTACTTCTTTAAGAAAAAATAAATTTGAGAAATTGTATTGATTTAGAAAAGGATTATTTCCTGTGTGTCCTGTCATCTTTCTATATGTGAGTACAGAAGGGCTCACTTTATCTTGGGGCGGTTGCTCTTAATACCTAGAGTGCAGGGGCTCACTAGTGCCACTATGTGAAGAGGGCAGGAAAGTAGGGGGAAAGCAGAGGAGAGGAGACAGGGAATGGGAACTTGCAGTTGACTAATTAGCATCGTGGTAGCTGGAACCACCTGCCTGGGCTGTGTGAAATCCTTGGGTTTCTGGCCTTCACCTGGCCAGTGACCTGAGAACTGGTCCCCACTTAGGTGCACAGTGAAGATATCACCTCATCACCTTGGGTCATGTCCTGGGAAGCTGGCCAGCAGAAACTGGCCTAGGGTCTCTGTCTGTATCTAGCAATGGGCACTCCTTGCTGAGGGAATGAAGGCTACATCATAGAGCCATGCGTTTGTGACTGCCTGGATCCCTCTTCACCACAGCCCCAGCACCTCAGTGTTGACCATGCTCAAGGTGGGTTGGCTGTGAGGCCATGGGAGTTCCTAGGAGGCAGAGTATAGCTGCCCAACCCTCTTGCATTTTGGTAAGGACGTGGGCAGATGCATTTTCATAGAAGTTAGGGGCATGGACAGCACCATGGATCTAATAGCTCCACTATCAGTGTGCTGTTCACAGGAGTCCCCTGAGATGGGTGGTATCCTATCATTTCACAGACAGGAAACTGGTGAAGACAAGTACCTTGCCCAAGGACTCCCCCAGAGGTAACTATTCCTGTACTCATGCTGCCTCACTATGACTGCTAACAGAAAAACATGCAGAGAAATAAGTACGTGCCAAATTAAATCAGTTTTTTCCTTAGTATGAGATGTACATATTTTTTTTTAAAAGTTTTTTTCAGTAGAAAATGACCCCACTACCAGAAATCTACCTTCAGTGCCTTTGGGAGCAAGGAGCAGTTTGGTGAAGGTTGAACACATGCAAACTTCTAAATCAGTGAATGGAATGGCATCCTGAGATGCACCTCAGCTTTCGGGCAGTGGGGTGTGGGGAGCCTACTCTGAAGACCTGGGAGGACATCAGGCTTCCCATTCGTTGCTCTAGCTCATAGTGCGTGCTCTCACATTGGTAGGATTGGGGGGGTCATTCAGGAGCCCTCTAGCTTTATCTCATTCCTCAAAACCCCTCATCCTGAATTCATCTGGTCAACAGTGTCACTCTCCCACTAAACTCAAATCCTCTGGCATCTTCCCCAGTTCCATCACTCCCTCGGTACAGCGTGCAGGCTGCTTCCTCCCAACCATTTCATGTTTGTGCTCCATTCATCTCTGAAGGACTGAGATTAGAAATTTAGATTCTAGAATCAGATTGACTCATACAGAGTCTCAGCTTCCCTGAGCCTCTGTTTCTTAAGCTGTACAATGGGAATGCCCATAGTACTAACCTCCCAGGGTGACTGTTACCTGAAAAAGAGAATACAAAGCACTGAGAAGGCACCTGCCTCAATAAATGTGAGTTCTAATCACATCACTACTGTTTCAGAGCCTCCTTGGCTCCCCACACATAATGAGGTCTGGATACTTAGTGAAGTGCCCAGTTCGGGTGGGAACAGGCTGACCACTAACATTTAAGGCATTCCCATATCTGCCTCTAGCCCATGTGGCCAGCCTGGTGCCAATTAGCATGTTTGGCTCCAGGCAAGGAAGCCGCTGCTCAGCCCCCAGCTCCTCACCCTTTAAACTGTGTGCTGACCACATCAGTGGTCAGTTACCAGGCACCTAGTCATTGGACCCTCACCAGAGTGTCCCAGTTATCCCACTTTCAGGCTGGGGAAGGGAAGACAGATGGGAGAGATTCCATTTTCAGACACTGCAACATTACCAGTGGATGAACACTAATCTGCCAGGTACTGTTAAATCTAAGAGTCACCATGGAGATGAGCCTCTGGTCAGTGCCTGACAGCCTTGTTCCTCTTTACTGGAGTGGCTGGGACAGGGTGGGTAAGGGGGACACACTGGAGACTCTGCTTCAAGCAAGAAAGATGGGCCTCTCCAAAGTGGATTCTAGGAGAGCAGTGGCGGGGCGGGGGAGAGGGTGCTTTCTCCAGAGTCACTCTTCGTAAGGGCGGACTTCGCCAGGCCAGAGTATGCGGCAGTGTTGGGTGCATGTCCTCTCCGTCCAGCTACTTGAGGGCACGCGCCGCGGCCTGAGTCTTTTCTACCTTCGGGACCTCGGAGCTTTTGTCCCCGGCACCCGGAGGACCAAGACCGCCCTGGTTCAGGCGCCCTCTCCCGGGTGGGGGTCTGCTTACGCCCTCCCAGCCTGCTCCCTGCAGGGCGCCCGTCCCTCTCTCCGCCCCCGGCTGGGCCCGCCCCCGCGCCTGTG